GCTATTTTTCTATTTAATTAAGTTATGATGAAAAATAAAAAACACACAATTACAGAATTTGAAAATACAATTTACATTCAATCAGTTTTGAGAAAAGAATTTTGAACAAGGCAACAGAGATATTTTACACATTTTGAGAAAACTCTCTTCTCTACTGCCTTCTGTGCTTTCATTGTTAATCACACTTGTTCTTGGAGATTGACATTCTACAGGCTTCTACAATTTGTTATCTTCATTACCCAGGTGTGTCTGTTCTTATTTTTATTACTTTCATCCTTTTTGCATTGGTGGAAAAGGAGGTGTTTTTCATTCCTAGTGTGATTCTAGGAGGTGTTCATCCTTAGTGAGATTCTAAGGAGGTGTTTTCATCCTTTGATTTGTTCAAAGGAGGTTTTCATCCCTAGTGTGATTCTAGGGAGGGGTTCATCCTTAGTGGGATTCTAAGGAGGTGTTTTCATCCTTTGATTTGTTCAGAGGAGGTGTCCATCCCTAGTGAGATTCTAGGGAGGTGTTCATCCTTAGTGGGTTTCTAAGGAGGTGATTGTAATTTGTAAACTGAATTTGAAAGATAGTGAATGGGGAGTCACTCTTGTGTTAAGAGTTGACTGGGAACTGGATGTAGGATTGGCTATACCCGAACCAGTATACATCTCTGTGTGTTCTTCTCTTTCCCTTATCTCTTTCTCCTTTCCTGATTATATTATTGCTTCCGCTTTAACAAATTATTGACTCACAAATAAATTTTTATTTTGACATCTATTTTAATTTGTGCATCTATTCACCCCCTCTTGATGCCATTTGTCTAACAATAGATACAAGTACTGGATATTTTATGATTTTATATGATAAATATTTTTGTAAGATAAATTTTTGTACCATCATATTTTATGATTTTATAATTGTCTAAATAGGTTGTGAGTTAATTGAATAAACAAATGAGCGATATATTTTTTTTTTCAAAATTTTGAATAAACAAATGAATGATATGTTATTTTTTTAAAAAAAATTAAAAAAATTATATAAATAAAAGATTTTTTTATTTTTATTTAAGCTAAAAATGGTTTGTCAATCTGTTAGCCTAATATAGGGCTAGACTAAGCAAAAAATTTTGGTCTGTTTTAAAATATAGGTCAGATTGGATAGTTACATTTTTTTTACTTAGCCCGTAAGGTCACGCCAAGTTGGGTTGAGCCACCTGTTGTGACCGTCCTACTTTTAGATATTTAATTATTCAAGAATGTGACAAGTTAAAAACCTGGTGAAGGAAAAAGAGTACATCATTTTTCATTTTCAAAATATATTCATTTCTCCCTTCGTATAAATTACTATCATTGAGAGAATGAGACCGATTTTATGAATAAAAAAGTTCTTCACAAAGATTTTATAAAAAAATTCGTCTGAGTTTCTTATAAACAAACTTTCTTAATCACAATTTTTTTGGAAGAATTATATTTTGTTTTATCCCCTTTAACATATTTTTATATATAATAATTGATATTAATTTTCTCAAATATAGGTTAGAAATTTCTCCATGATTTGATAATACTATTATTTATTTATGTTGTCATAAAATTATAGTTTTACCATTTATGAACAAAAATATCTTATTTGTAATTGATTATTATGGGATGTAACAAGTAACATGTATTTACATATAAATAACTTGTATTTTTATAACTCATTAAATATGATTTAAAAACATTTGAATAAACATCTTTATCCCTCAAGATGAAAAACATGTTTTTAATCAAATATCTATTTATAGATGAAAAATATATCTTGCTAATAAATTTACAACAAATATCATATCAAGTTTAGTAAAAATAACAAGATATACTAGTATTATTATAATGATATGGTACTTAAAAAAAATCTTTATTTTTCTCTTGAAATCTAAAATAATAATTGATATAAATTATTCACGTAGAATATTGAAACTAGGTACATTATATTATGTATATATTCCACATTAATTTAATCACTTAGGTTCAAAACTAGTATACAAGAAAGAATCTAATAAGAAAACAAGGGATACTATAAAAGTATCTTTTTATTGAAATATTAAATATGTAATGCAAAAAAACTTTATCCTTTTAAGATTCTCCATTTGAAATTCTTTTTTTTTTTTTTTATAAAAGAATTAACTTCTTTTGTAAGATGTTTTAGAAGCTCAAACATAAACAAGTATAATAAAATCATTTTCATATAAGGACAAAATGATAAATTTTTATTCCATTCTTTTAAAATAACATACATAGACAATTATACTACAAAAATCTTGATCCATGGATAAACTTAGTCAACTTGATTAAATAATTCTCTTCATAATTTGTATCATTTGGAAAATTAAATCCTTCAAAGAATTTCATATAAATATCATTTTCAATATAATCATATCATATAAATAAGATGTAACAACATCCATATCATTTTCAATATAATCATATCATATAAATAAGATGTAACAACATCCATTAAATGCAAGATGAATCATTCATGTGCAATTAGATTAATTGAATATCTAAAAGTATTTGCGTAGACTATATGTGATAAAAAAATCAATATTAGGTATGGTGAAAAATTCTTAAATAATCAATTGTGTTTTATAGTTCACCATTTCATTTTTCTTTTTCATTGTATCCAATTGATTTAACACTATAAATCTAAAATTTTTTCACTTATCAAGAGAGTCTAATTCTCTTTGATTTCATCTTTTCATTTTGTTTAATCATTTCATTATCGACAAACTTTATGAATCTTGATTTTTATCATCAACATCATTTATAATATTTATCACTATACTATAGGAAGAAAATTATCACCAATATTGATTAAACTTTTCTTCCATATTATTTCATAACATAATTAATTAAAATCTCTCAATTTTGTAATAATTTCATGTACTTGAATTCTTTTGGAACTATATATTAATTATATCAAATGAATATTTTAGGATTATGATCCTAAATTGACCTATCTTGCCTTTTAGATAAATAAATCTTTTAGGATTTTGCATCATCAATTGACATATGAATATTTAGGATTTTGATCCTCAATTGTCCCATCTTACCTTTTAGATAAATATGTATTATAATCTATTTGGAAACAAAAGTATTAATTAATGTTATTATAAAAATAATTTATATTTTAAAAAAAGAGATTCATTTAAAATAACAATAATATCATAACTTATTATTATTTTTTTAATAAAATTGTGAATATATGATCCTATTTACTACATATGTAAATGTATTTATAAAATTATTAATTTTTGAAAGATGTTACATTTAGTTAAATCATATAACATATATCTTTATAAAATCTAAATATAATAAGTAAAAATGTTAAATCCCCTTAGTATTTTTTTCTATATTTAATAATACAAAACAGTTAAATAAAAAAAGAGAGAGTTATAAATCATAAATTCAATAAAGTATTATTTAATTAATATAGAATGTAATGTTCTTCATTATTTCATATATATATATATATATATATATATATATATATATATATATATATATATATAATAGACATTCAGTTATGTGCTTCCCATTTCTCATAATAAAAGAAAAAAATAATTAACCTATTTAATAAAAATAGTAATAAAAATATAGTTATTATTATAATAATAATAATAAAATATAATTGTCAGAATATTATGGATAAAATGTTGAAAAAATATGTAATTTTATTTATTGAAATATAGTTTTATATATTTTAGTTACAGTAAATAATTAAACCAAAGTCTACTATAACACCATTTTTCATAAAAAGTTATTAAAAATACAATTTATCAACACATAAGCGCTCATATTTTGCAACTCGAGGATAAAAAACTGTTCTTTAATATTATTTATTAATATTATATTTATAAATCGACTTATTTAAAATAAAATTTTAATTAAAAATTATTATTTTATTAATAAATGAAGTTGTTGAATGAATATTTATAGATATTGGATGGATTTTTTTTCTAATTTATTATGACACTACTTATATAAGGAAAAATGCATTTCTTTTGATTAGTAACTTTTAAATTATTTATTTTTTACGAGATAAATATACTTTTTATTATAAATAGTAATAATAATAAATAAAGATTTGAATTAATGATATGTTTATTACGAGATTTACTTTTTAAGTATTAATTTTAAATTTCAGAGTACCTTTTTAAAAACATTTTATACGTAGAGAATAGAACATAACTAAATCTGGATATAAATCAGGCTTAAAAATAAATCAAATATTGGGATAAGTAAAAATTGCTTTCTGAAAAGACAAATATATAGTTTTTTCAAATAATTAAGTTTTAAATTTAAATTGGGTAATATATATTACAGAAAAGAAAAACTGAATAAATAAGTGATAACAACATCAAATCTTCAGAAATAATAGAGGTATTATAAGATAATCTGTTTGAAATTGGGAATTTAAATCTCATAATTTATTTTTATGTATAATTCTGAAACTTAATTTGGAGTTATTTTCATATTATTAAATACTCTGTCACCAGCCCTAATCCAAGTATAGCAAACCTTTCATACATTCTTTCGAGTATATAGACAAAATCACTCACCCGCAATTGTTATTATCACTGTTCCTATTCTCTTCTCTTTCATTCATTCACTCAACCTGCTTCTCACTGGACTCAGATCAGGTGAGTGACACTATTTTCCATTCTCTTCCCTTTTCTCTTTTTCTACTCTTTCTCTCTCTGAGTTTTGCGAAAATTCATAGTTTAATTTTGCTGTCTGGTTCTTCTCTTATTAATTTCTTTTCTTTGGTTCGATTCGGCGAAAACCATTCTATCACGCACAAAATTTTTAGGGTGATTGCTTTGGTGAATGCATTTTTTCTATGAAACTGAGACTATCTTTTTTATTGAACAATTGAAATTATTGTGGTAGTAACTATTGGAGTTAAGTTGATTAATTGTGTTTTAAGAAGTATTGTCTAATCTGAATTTATTTTAATTTTCTCAACAAGAAAAGTAAAAGATGCCGAAAAAGGTGAGTTACATCCATGTTTTTTTTTGTTCCTCTAGAATGCGAAGTCAATAACCAGTTAGGTGCCGTCTTTTTGTTCTGTTTGAAAATATTAAAATAGTGGGTGTTAGTTTCTTTTATTTATTATTTTTACAAAAATCAAAATTAATTTTATTGAAAATGCTAAAAATTTTCCACTTTTCTGTTTTTCAGAATAATAACAATGAATATCAGAAGAAATATGTTTTTCTTTCTTTTCCTTTATTTTAGTGGGACAGTTTGTATAAGTAAAAATTTTCTGTTTCATGCAGGCATTGATGGCTTAGAGAATTCATTAAAAGAGATAATTTGGTAAGAAAATATTTATTTTGTTATGCGGAAGCCATTCAAAATATTGATTTAAATTTTCTTCAATTTTGTTTTTCTGCAAGTGGTTTTCTAACCTGGTAGTGTCATTGCTTTGCATGTACTGTATTTGACAGTTTATTTTATTAGCAAGCGGCAATGGATGTGGATTTTACCCTACCAGGAGAGGACGCTAAATCTGATGAGGAGACAAAAATAACTGAAAACACCATCATGCATGAAGAAGCGCGGGGAAAACTTGGACGCTGTAAGATTTTGGTGTTGAATTTATAATGTCATTTGTGCACTCTTATGTATGGTGGTTGTGAATTTTTCTGGTTGTAGTTAAATTCTGTGTAGAAATATGATTTTCTAGTTTTTAATATATAGGTTTTTAAATTACCATGAGCATCTCCATTGGTGATGTAGGACCCCAGGATTCTCAAGCGAGGCCGAAGTCGGAAATATATATTTTTTTAAGCAATAATTAGTATTTTTGTTTATAATTATCCTGAAATTTGAGCAATCAATCCTTCTATATGATCATCTTCAAAAGAAAAAAAAAGGAATTGTTTCTTAGTTTGTGTTGACAATCATTTCCTATACCTTGCATACCTTCCAATGTTAAATTTGTATTTTGTACATTGTGGAGCTTAGATATCTTTTATATATTTCATGATTTTGATATATGACCCTTTTATTCTTGTTTGACATATACATATCTGAATATTTTTATGGATGTTAGATTAATCCATACAGTTACTTCCCCTCAATTAGTGCTTGATTCATATGTGGAACAGTAAGAGGGCTTATGTTTATGTATATCATATAAGTTACTTCATTGTATGTTGGTATCCCGGGTGGCTTCTTAATCTTCGTCTTACGTCTTGAATGATTGTAAATAAATTGGCTACTGTTTAATAGTGTAGTACACATGTCCTCGTTCTTTCAATTGGTTAGCTACAGATTATTGATTGAGCAATTTTAATCCCTTTACAGCAGGCTTTGATTCCAGAGAGCGAAGAAAAAGCAAGTACCTGTCTTACCCATATACAAACCTTAGATCAAAACAAAAGCTTTTACCTGCTGAAACTGAAAACTTGAAGACACCATGTCTTCCTCGGAAAGCAGGGGCTTCAAGTGATGCTACTAAGTCTTTAAACATATCTTCGTCATATGCTAAATTGGATAGCAAGAGGTTCCGAAAGAACTGGTACAGAAAGTTCATCAGCTGCAATAATCTGTCCAGCAGTCCCAAATTCATGAATGCATCAACAGTTGATTTTCTAGCAGGACTTTCTTCTACAGCCGTTGATTGTATGTTTCCAGTTGGGAATGAGAAATTTGATTTAGTTGAGCAGTTCTTTTGCAGATATAGAATATCAAAGTATCATGATGAGGCTGAACTTGCTACTTCCCAGGTTAATGCACAAGAAGACCTGTGGAAACCTGTGGGTAATGATTTACCAGATACCAAAAGTAAGAGAAAGAACAATAAAGTGGAAAATGCAGTCAGGCGGAAGAGAAAATCACGCTCTGGCCTATCAGATTCGAGTGCAAACATGTGTAGCATTCACTCTCAGATGCCTGGGAAAAAATTGAAACAAAATCTGATGGAAAAAGCAAAACCGGGGTGTCAGGTGCAAAATATTGATACAAATTTAATTGGGGAAAGAAGCAAATGCAGCTCGATTCCTCAAACTAAACCAAATCTGAGTTGCCTTGCTTCTGAAGGAAAGGGTTTACATAGAAAGAGGAAAATGATAGAAGCACAAGAGCATCAAAGTGCTCAAATTACTTCAGTGTATACAGATGCAAAAAAGCTTAAATGCAGTTCACTGATAATAGATTTGCAGTTTACATCCCCATCTATACCTGGTGATATTGCTGAGAGAAATAAGGAAGAACTAGTTTTCATATCTCCGAATCCAGAGCCGGGTGTTTCCCAAGAAGGATCTGCTGGGAGAATTACTGATAATAACTTATTGGTAAGAACTAAGGCAGAGGCCGATACTGTCCTGGTAAATAAAGAATCATTAAAGAACAGCTTGGGGAAAGAAGCAGGAGTGCATCTCAATACTAAACTTGCTGTAGAGCAAACAGGGCGGAACAATACCATGGAGAAGGCAGCAGAAAAGACTCTCCATACTAAACTTGCTTTAGGGGAAATTGGGCCGAAGAATAGCGCAGAGATGGCAGCAGAAAAGCCTCTAAATACTAGATATGTTGTAGATATACCTGATCTGAACGGTACTGGTGCTGAGGGCAATTCAATCAGCACAGAATTTGATACTGTCAATTTTACTTCAGTTGAATTGAAACCAGAGCAGCCAAAAAGCTTATCTGCGTGTTCAAGACCTATCAAAACTACTATTTACAGAAGACTGAATGACAACGGTGAGTCACTTGGAAATTGTCTTCTCCTAAGATTTGCCCCCGTTGCCTGTATCCCATCAAAAGAAGATCTAATGTCAACATTTTGCCGGTTTGGTCCCTTGAAGCCATCACAAACACAGTTGTTAAAAGACACTGGTAGTGCTCAAGTTGTTTTTGTCAGAAGTAAAGATGCTGCTGCTGCATTTCGTAGTTTAGAGCAGGACAAATTTGCCTTTGGTTCGACTCTTATTGATTGCAAGCTCCATCACCCTTCTGCACCCTGTCCACCTGTGGAACAACTCGTGATCCATGCCCAACCAATGGGGTTTATGACAATGCTTGGTGTAACCCCTACTCAACCAGCTGGGTTGGCAATGCCTGGTTTAACCCCTGCTCAACCAACTGGGTCTGTGGCAATGCCCGGTGTACCTACTGCCCAACCAACCGGGTCTAAGGGAATGCCTGGTGTAACCCCTTCTCAACCACCTGGGTCTAAGGGAATGCCTGGTGTAATCCCTACCCAACCAATTTTGTCTATGCCAATGACTGGTATGAACCCTACTCAGCCAACTGTGTCTATGGCAGTGCCTGGTGGGATCCCTACCCTATCAACTGGGTCTATGGCAGCGCCTGGTGTGACCGTTACCCCACAAACTCGGTCTACTGTGCCAATGCCTAGTGAAACAGCTCCTTCCCTTCAGTTCATTAAGAAGAACTTGCAGATTATGACGTCAATCCTAGAGAATGCAGGGGGTAGTCTTTCCCCCCAGATGAGAGCCAAACTGGATTCTGAAATTAAAAACCTTATGAGAAAGGTGAATTCCAGGACCAAGGCCTAAACAGTGCTCTGGGAGGCTTTTCTTTCTAAATTTATCATGGAAGTAGTTAAGAAGTAGATTAGAGTAGTTTACGGTTTTATATTCTGGTCCTCTTTCAGTGGGTGTACTGGTGAACTGTCATCCCCATTCTTTGGCTTCTGCACAATTCATTTGAATTGTTCAAGGATATTTTATGCTCGAGTGTCGTTCGATTTAAAATCATTCAGTGCTTACAAAGTTTCATTTCTATTTATGCTTATATATTTTACGGGATAAAGTAAGTTTTAAAAATCTCTAAATTAGTCATTGCGAGTAGTGGATAATTCAAAAATTGTTAGATGCATTGGATAATTAAAAAAAAAAGTAATTATTTGTTTTGGAAAGGATTGTTATTTAGCATGACGGGGAGGGTTCATATTGTAAACTCAATTATAGCTCGTATTGGGTGTGAGAGTTTAGAGCATGATGATATATATGTTTTAATCCATTATCTACTTAATCATATTCTAAGCTAGTGAGTAAGAATGTCTTAATTTTTATTGAATTTTGGTTTAAATTTGTTTTAATATGTTAAAATTGTGTTTAATTTGTTAAAATGATCTTAAGTTGATTTTTAATTGATAAAAATTTAAAATAATTGATTAATTTTACTTAATCACTCGTTATGTTTTAAAGTTTTAATTGATTAAGTATTTTTTTTACCAAGTAAAATGCTCTTAAGTGATGTTTTTGAATTTTATTATTTCACTATTTTAATAAAATTATTTAGAAATATTATTAGAATTTTATTATTTCACTATTTTAATCAAATTATTTAGAAATATTATCGAATTTTGTATCTGGTTTAATCGATTAATTTATCGTTTCATCTATTAAGATGTTTTTTTATACTTAGAGTAATATTTATTTGTTCTATTTTAGTCGATTAAATATGTTTTATTAGTTAAAATAACTTATTAAAATTTTATAAGGTTTTATCTCATTATTTTAATTGATTAAAATCACTTAATTCGTCATTTTAGTGAAAATAATTTATTAAATACACGATTTAATTGATTAAAACTAACAATTTTTCTTGTATAAATAGTTTCGATTTCTCTTTTCAAATAGACTATGTGAAAAGTTTTGAGCAATCTTTTAAGAGATTTCTAAGAACGTACGTTTTTCATGGTAAGTTAATTCAAAATATTCTTGAGACATTTCTTTTATTTTCTTGGAGATATTACTTAGAGATTGTGATTTTGAACTTAGGGTGTTCTTCTATATAATCTTTCTAGGTAATTTCTATCCTTGTATTCTTTTCTTTTGGTGTATTTGTGGGACCTGGTGTTGGGTACTGGTTGGTGGTGACCTGATGTGGGTTGCTGGTTGATTCAAGAGTGGTTCGTGGGTGTTTAAGAAGCTCTTGGGATAGATAGAGTATGTTTACTAGTTTGTGATTGTAATTGAATATTGATTTAGTGAAACTTAACTGGTTCTGCTCAAAAGTGGATGTAACTCAGGTAGTTAAGTGAACCAATATAAATTCTAGTGTCTTCTTTCTTTCTATCTCTAAATTCTTACATTTACATTATGCTTCTTGCTTTATCCATCAATTAATTCTTTAAAATATTGATTCTATTATTTGAGAATTGGTTTAATTTGAAAAGCATTTGAAAAAAAAAGTGTACAAACAATTCACCCCCTTCTTGATCTTGACCATTGTTCTTAACAATTGACATCAGAGTTGGTACTTGAATTTTTCTCAAGTTTTGGTCCAGTTTGATTGAATATGGTTGAGAACAATTATCTTTTGCTGAAGGGGATTCAATTAACAACCTCTGATGTTTTGTTGAATTAATTACCAATTTTGGAAGATTAGAATGAAAATTTTCATAGAATCAATTGATAGAGGTATTTGGGATGCTATAGTAAATGGTACATATGTTCCTACTCAAAAAGTGAATGATGTGATTATTGAAAATCTGTTTGAATTAATTGATGCAGAATCTAAGAAAGTGCAATATGATTGTAAAACAAAATATATTACTTTTGCACTAAATTTGGATGAGCTTTCAAGGGTTTCATAGTGCGAAACTACCAAGAAAATGTGGGATGTTCTTGAAATAACACATGAAGGAACTTTGGATGTTAAAAGAGCAAGAAAACATTCTTTGAGGTATTAAAAATGCAACAGGGTGAAAACATAAATGATGTACAAAAGAGATTCACCTACATTGTCAACCATCTCATCAGTCTAGGTAAAATTTTAATAAAGAGGAATTAAATATCAAGATATTGAAATGTTTGGATAGGTCCTGACAGTCCAAAGTCATAACAATTTCAGAATCAAAATATCTTTCAAACTTGACCACTACATCACTCTATGGAAAACTCAAAGAACATGAACTAGAGATTCACAAGTTGAATGAGAAAGAAATCACATAAAAGAAGGGAAAGAACATTGCTCTCAAGATTATGGAAGAACAAGAGAATTCTGAAGAGGATAGTGAAAACGAGAACTTGAGTTTGCTAGTTAAAAAAATTAGCGGATTCTTGAGGAAGAAAAATGGAGATAAAAATGGTCATTAAGAATGTAAGTTAATTGAAAAACTGAATTTGGTTCTTTTAACTACACGTGTCATGCTTGTGGTAGATAGGGATGTTAGAATCGCGCAGCGGAATGATCGCGTGGTCGGACAAAAACCAAGAGGGGGGGTGAATTGGTTTCTTAATAAAAATTAGGTTTTCAAAATTTTTCCCAAATTTTACCGATTAAAAACTGCGTAAATGTAAATAGAGAAGAGTAGAGAAGATTACACAGTAGATTTATACTGGTTCGGATCAAAAGACCCTACGTCCAGTTGCTAATCACTCAAAAGAGGATTAACGCTGTCACTAAGAACAAATTGTTACAACAGATTACAATTGACAAGATAAAGATAAAGATAACACCTCTCTTGAAACCCACAAGAGATGAAGAACAACTTTCCCCGGAGACTGGCACAACACACAATCCACTAAGAACTCCACTTAGTGATTCTTATCGCTTCTAGCCCACACCAGGTTCGTAAAGCCCCCTTTCCTTGCAACAAACAGCTTCTCCGGCACTCACAACACTTAACTTTTGTATGGAAAAGGTTGTTCTTCTTTCTCGAGTGCCAAAGGAGAGTTTAAGTAGGGAAATTAGGGTTTAGGATTTGGGGATTTCGAAACTAGGGTTCTTGGTAATTGGGTTTTCAAAAATAGGGTTTGTTTGAAGTTTAAAATCGAAACAGATCGGAATAATCGATTATTTGGAGTAATAATCGATTAAAACATAGCCAAATACGTCGAACCCAATACTCTTCGGTTTAATCGATTATTTGGTGAAATAATCGATTATTCAGTACTGAACTATACTGAATAATCGATTATTTTGCTGTTTAATCGATTAAAGCAGTGAGTTTGTATAGAAAATGGTTTTCTCACTGCTTTGATCGATTATTTACCTATTTAATCGATTAAAGCCGAGCCTGAATGATAAATTTGAGCTTTTTGAAGCTTCTAAGTTACGAACTATGTACCGGCTATCTTAGATTCTATAATTACGGACTCAATCAAACTAAAACAGAGTTATTACAATACGTAAATCATCAATCTTCAATCTTCAATACTCTAGGTCTTTAAGCTTTTGGATCATCATCAAAATCAACATTCTTCATGATCATTATTTGCAACATCAAGTCCTTGAATGTTCAACAATCTCCCCCTTTTGATGATGATCAAAATTATCTTTTAAAGCCCTTGTAATAACCTCGCTTTATCCGTCATACTAACAAACACATTAAACATACCGGATAAAATTTAAAATTGAATATAGGCTTTAAATTTTTCTCCCCCTATTTTGATTATAATCAAAAAGAACTCTGCAATAACAATCATAAGAGCTCCCCCTCAAAATATGCATAAGTTGGAGAAGACTCCCCCTCAATCAAAGCATTAAAAAAAAACAAATTTCATTTCATAAAGAAATGTCATTACAGACAAAGAGATATATAACATTACAATCATGTAAAAGCCTTTTATTTAAGCAGAATTTAGGCAATGTCTAATATTCCAAAGTCTCTTCTAAGATCATAGAATCTATCCTTGGGTAGAGGCTTAGTAAAAATATCTCGCTAATTGGTGTTTTGTATCCACATACTCTATTTTACAGCTTCCTTTGTTGATATGATCTCTCAAAAAATGATGTCTTATTTCTATATGTTTAGTCCTAGAGTGCATTACTCGGATTCTTAGTTAAGTTAATTGCACTCGTATTATCACACATCAAGGGTATGTCATCTAAAAAGATATTATAATCTTCTAACCGTTGTTTCATCCACAAAATTTGAGCACAACAACTACCAACTGCAATATATTCAACTTCAGTGGTAGATAAAGCAACACATGCCTGTTTCTTGGAATGCCAAGATATTAAGGATGAACCTAACAAATGACATGTCCCACTAGTGCTTTTCCTATCAATTTTACATCCACCATAATCAAGCATCGAATATCCTAATAAACTAATACAAGCATCAGATCGGATACCACAAGCCAAACCCAGTAGTTCCTTTTAAGTATTTTAAAATATGTTTTACCGCAATTAGGTGAGATTCTTTAGGACAAGCCCGAAATCTAGCACACACATGCACGTAATGCATAATATCGGTCTACTAGCAGTTAAGTATAATAGTGATCCTATCATACCTCTATACATAGTTTGATTAACTTCCAAACCTGATTCATCCTTGTCTAAATAGCATGAAGTTCTCATGGGTGTGTTGGCTTCTTTTGAGGTGTCCATACCAAACTTTTTGAGAATCTCCTTGCAGTATTTAGTTTGAGAGATGAAATTGCCATCTTTAAGTTGCTTGATTTGTAGTCCAAGGAAGAATGTCAATTCTCCCATCATAGACATTTCAAACTCTCCCTGCATAATCTTAGCAAATTCTACACATAACGAATTATCAGTTGATCTAAAAATTATATCATCAACATATACCTCGACCAATAAG